TCTATAAACCAAATTTGCTCCAAAATAAATAAGGATTTTAAAGATAATTTTGGTTTTTAGAAAAAGCAGTGGCGTACCATATTTTTGTTCAAAAATATTCAGTTCAAACCCGGTACGGACGTCACTAGTAAAAATTTAGAAGTCTTTTACGACAAAAAGGCGGGATTGAAAGTGAAAGTTTAGTCTGTTGGTACATAATATACTATATTTATATATCTAATTTTTATTATTACACTGAATGTGACATGGCTTTTTTGCTTGCTGTTTTTGGATTAACAAAATATTATTTTAATGATTTAAAATAAACTGCCAATAATAATAATTATCTATACTTAAACATATACAAAGGGTTCATAAAACGACGCATCAAGAAACCACCAAATTATTAAACTTTTAATTTACGTAACAAGTATTGAAAGTAATTTTAAAAAACCGACTTTAAAATCGTGCTAAAGCCATCACCACATCTTAACCAAATTTATATGGGACCACCTCTGAGGTACCCCCTTACTAACGAAAAGAATTATAGAAATCGGACAAGGTGGTAAAGAATTATCGCTAAACATACATAAAAAATGAAAAGTTTGAAGATTTTCTCATGGACCCAATTATTAGATTTTGACCAAAATTAAAAGGGACCATCCCGGAAGTATCCTCTTTCCAGCAAAAAAAAGAATCATTTAAATCGGACATTGTGTTAAAGAATTATCGCTGAACATACATAAAAAAAATAATATACAGACGAATTGAGAACCTCCTCCTTTTTGAAGTAGGTTAAAAAGGATATAATAATCTATATTAATTGTATTAACTAAAAAACTACTATCTGGAGTTGTATACATTTTCTTAAATTAATCTTATATGTAAAAATGTGGGTTCGGTTCCTAGAAGAGTACTAGTTCACTGTGCAGCCAAATTTATATTTATAATACAGAATTTTTTAAATAAATAAAGTTTTAGGTTTAATTAAACACCAAGTTTTATCAGGAATAACATTTTCTGAAAAAAGTAACATATAAAAAGCAGACTTTTTGCGAGCCACTATATATATTTTAGATGACAATCCATATTTTTTTAGAAAAATAAATAAAATTTTTGTATAATCACATAAATGTGATTTATCTTTTAGAATATTGTATATATTTGTCAAAGTTTACTATTTAAAAAAAAAAAAAATTTCTTAAATACCTTAATTTGTTTATAGTTATCGATTTTAAACAAGACGGAGACCGGACATCGTCGAAGAAAAACAGCGAAATTAGTAAAAATTTTAACTTGATTAAAGAGCGTTCTTTCTCTTTCCATTTCCTATAAAAACTAATAGACCTTTCTGAAATCGGTATTCGGTGATTTTTATTCTGATATGATTTTTATAAAAATCAAAAACTGACTTATTATTTTTGTGTAATAAAAATATGTTGTTACTTGCACAATTTTCGACTACTCTTTGTTTCCAAAAAAGAAATACGATGTTCTTCTGTAGATATTAACACATGATTTATTTGGCTTTTTATTATTATTTTTTTTTTAATATTCTTTAGTATTTTCATAATTTGGGAAACAGTATAGAATTGAAAATTCTATACCTGAAAAATTGTGAGTTCGCTTTTAATTAATTGTATGTTTTTTTATATCACAATGTCTCGGGTAAACGAAGTTACAAAGAAAAAGTTAGTATTCAATATCATCCAGACAAAAACCAAGAATATGTTTAAATGAATATATTAAATAAATTATGAGTATTCTTAAACAGAGATATATTTATTTGTATTATGGAAATAATGTTTATATCAATAAAATTTTGTTCGATATTTCTATCAATTTGTAAAGATAACTCTTGTATAATCATAGGGACTTGCAGATATCACAGTTCGAAATTCTTTTTATTGAACATAATACTTTTTTGGAATGAAAGCATTAGTTCCTGTTTTTCAGTTAAGCTCCATAAATCAATTCATATTTTAATCTGAACGTAACTCAAGCGCAGTAAAGTAGCAACAACTAAACAATATAGTGAACTTTTCGAAAAAGTTAAAATGAAAATTTATATTTAAAATTAAGTAAGTTAACTAAAATTTTTAACCATTATGAAGTTAATAAAGTTATAAATAACGTCGTTACAAAGATTCATGTGTGAATTTTCAATTTCTATTGATGATAGTTACTCATCTACGTATTACAATATCAATACATGACTTGGCTTTGACACAAAACTTCTAATCCAAATCAAAATCTTGAAACTATTATTTGGGGACTTAAAAGCGTGGTCCACTAGTTGGTGTAGCCTTTTAAAATATTTGGTATAATAATAATTATATATCAATTACCACTGCCACTGGTAAAATCCTAAATTTAAAATAGTGTACTATAATAATAAGACATTAATTATATCTTAAATGGATCGCCTACTACCATGTTTTAGAAATAAATAAAATGTAATTCTTAAATTAATAAAAATATTCAAAATAATTTAAGATTCCTTGCGTTATGTTAATAAACATTAAACAAAATTTCTTACGAATTATTTAGTATTCTGTCTCGTACTTCCATGTCTCTATTAGCTTCGCTGTCAACAAGTGCCGGCAAGGCATATTGTATATAAAAATTTTTAATTTTATTTTGTATCTTTTCTTCCCAAAAGCTGTCATTATGAGATATTTTCTCCACTTTTATTCCTCCAGAAGTCCAAAAGCACAAAATGCAAAAATCCATTTGTGTTATGTGCAGCTAGCCCTGAATTTGAAAATACCAATAGTGGTTCTCCTTAATGGTATTGTCCTTTTTCCAAAAAGTTATTTCTCTACTGTATATTTCTTCTTTTACGGTTAGCACTTCAGCTCCATATGGACATTTTAACTCTATCATAGAGTTTTGTTTTTTTTTTTAATTCCATCCAGACTGGCAGCAACATAATCAAATTCGAATCCAATAAAATGTCAACATTTAAAAACTTTTACTTGCAAATAATTTTCCATATCTTATTTTGCTCTGAATTTATGGTCCCTGCCATATCGGGTGGCTTTACAAATAAATAAAAGATTTTAGGAATTGTTTTTACAAATTTCTCCAAATTTTAAAGCAGTGACTTGTCTTTTATTGTGCCACCATGCACAATCGGCTTGTCAAAATCGTTTTTTCCTCATTTATAGAAATTGGCTAACTTTTTAGAAAATTTTCTCTTGCAACGCGCCTCAGATCAAAGCCATGCGCGAAAGCAAGAAAAAATATTTACATTACTTTAACGGATTGAAGAGATATTAACATGCTGGAATTAATAATTATTGTTGACTCGAAGAGGTATTCATTAAACAAAAACATATTTATAATTTACATCTCAGTGCATACCTTCCAATTTCGGATATATATTTTTTTAATAAATAAATGATAAAATGAATTTAATGTATCAAGATAATTGAGCAAAATTACTGTATGTAAACAATAACAACATGAATTCAAATCACTTACGTACTGTTTATCACTAAATAGTAGAAAAAGATATATATTTTGTTGGTGTCACCATCTAGACGAAAAAGCTTTTTAACGTATTTCTATTTTTATTGTAATAAAAATAAATGCTCCTTTAGGCAAAAATTAAATATATTGTTCTTTTCTAGCATTTTTTAACATTTCTATTTCTTTTCGTTTCTTTCCTTAGATTTTTTTCAAAAGAGACCGATTCATATTTTTAAAGTGACTCCAGAGAGGTATGGGCTAAGCCTTTACCTGTACTTACATAAAATTTCTTTTAGTAAAATTAAAAAATAATCCGTAAAATTGGTGTACTATGAAACCCTTGCGTATAATATGTATATACCAATCATAGTATTAAAGAAATAAATTACGTAAAAAATAAGGTGTACAAATACGTGAAATTTATTCATCCCTCGTAAAACATCAGTAAAATATATTATAAATTGTTGTCATTCACAAATATTAATTTCTTAAAAATCTAACAGAGGCGCCACTTTCCAGACGAAAAATATTGCCATGTAAGGGTTTCGTAGTACCCCACTTTTAAAGTTTATTTTTGACTTATTCTAAAAGAAAAAAATATGTACATATAGGTAAAGGTTAAAAATATGCTCCTCTGGAACCACTTTTTCAAAATTCAATTTAGTTTTTTCTAAAAAAAATTGAGAAAATGAGTAAAAAAAGTCGAGTTTTGTATTTTTTTTTTAGAAAAAACAGTTTCAAATTTTAAAAAAGTGTCTCCAGAGGAGCATAGATTTATCCTTTACCTACACGTACATATTTTTTTCTTTCAGAATAAGGCAAAAATAAACTTTAAAAGTGGGGTACTACGAAACCCTTGCATGCTCCGCTCTACAGCCAAGTAAATACTCCTCTTAAGAATAAATGAATATTATTTTCTATTTGTCAATAAAAGAATGAAGAGTTAATCATACACAACTAACAATACAAGAAAGTAATTAATATTGGTTGCCTAGATGTCAGTATTTTTTTTTGCAAAACAATTTTATAAACAATGCAATTTTGCTCTGCTCATCCTGCAAATATTCACTCGTTCCTTAAAATAACTGGTTTCATAAATAGCTATTATTTACAATTTAGCATCCTTCTTTTGTAAAATTACATCTGATCAACTGATATCAAGGTATAGGTTCATAGATATTAGTTAAAACCAATCCAATATCTAACAGAATGTGGAATATTTTATTATGTTTGATTTTCTAATTTTTTGTTGTAGACTTATCATTTCATAATACCTACTAAATACGAAAGATTATATATTATAGTAAACAAAAATTTCAAAAGTAAAGTCAAAAATAACTTATTTAAAAAATTGATAATGCCCAATCATTTAATTATCTTAATTAACGATTTTGATAGAAATAATAAATATGAATAACTTTGTTCTCGTAAACATTAAACGTTATCTTTATGTAAAAATAGCTATAGCTCCATTTCCTAATCCTAATATATTATTTATTTTTTAAGTTTATTTTGTGTCTAGGGACTACATACTACAAAGTACATACCTTAAAAGCTTCAAATCTCTTGTGATAAATTGTATCATTTTCGTACGACTTATTAAAACTCTGTAAATATCTCTCGAAAAGGTACTCTTCTTGGTCTAAAGAAATCGGGTAAATAAAAAATAACAATAGAATGTAAATAAAGGTTTCGCTAAATTTTCGTATCCTAGCACATCTTGGAGTTTCTGATAAATTCGGTCCCACTGGCATTATAATATATTAAACATTTGAAAAATTGGAAATATTTTTCGAAAATATATAGCTTCTTCCTCTTCAAAAAGAGAGGTTATCCCATAGATAAATTAATAAAGAAGATAATCGGATCCCGTGTTAATTTTTGGAAACAGTGCTGCGAATTAGTATGGAACGGATTTTTTTTGAACTACACTGGCTGATTGACTTGCCAGTTAGAGGCCGAATAAGAAAGAGAATAATAAAAAAAAAGAGCTAAGGCCAAGTTCAATGACAAGTGACGGCGACTTTTTTATCACAAGAAATACAGCTCTGAACGATAATATTTTAAAAAACTGTTCTCATAAATGGGTTCAAAAAACTGTAAAAAATGATGGAAAGTCTATGGTTTGTTTTACTTACCCGATCAAACGAACTTGTGAAGTTCGATCGTAATTATATGAGGCGCTTCGTCCGAATAGATTACTTTATAATAACTTAGTAGTACCGGTTTTCGGTGCTAGATGGCACAACGTTCAAAGATAAAAAAACTTCTTTATCGGTTAAGTATGCTTACCTACTTTACCGATCCCTTTCACACGTCATAAAGTTTAAAGCTATTCAAAATTTGTTTTTCGATGTATACCTACCTGAAACAAATACAAATGGGTTGGGTAAAAATGGGATGGGAAGTAATCTATTCGGACGAAGCGCCTCATATAATTACGATCGAACTTCACAAGTTCGTTTGATCGGGTAATTATATTCGGCGCTTCGTCCGAATAGATTACTTTATAATAACTTAGTAGGCTGTTTAAAGTTACATTGGCCGTGTTCATCGTCGTCAAACATGTTGTAACGCTGAGTAAGCGGTGACGATGAACTGTCAACCGCTGCAGCGCTTTTGAAGAAGCATAAAAGCGAAAATAAACTCGCTTGTTTGCTTTAAAAGCATAAAATTGACCTTGAACCCCTGTCAAATCCGTCTTTCGGCATTTTGTTAGGTTATGTGTTTGTTTGTTTATTTATTTATATTTTTGAGGTTTTATACCCTAATAGAGTTGATTAGTTAAGTTGTATTTTAATATAATATTGTATTTATGGAGGTACCTATTTGAAGAAAATAAAATTAATTCCAGACGTAGATACATACACGTATGCTTAAATTATTTCATTTGGACGTTAATGGGATTCCACCAGTAAGGAATATGGATAATATAACATACCTACATATTATATAGTTTTAGCACAGTTATTCAAAACAGACGAGTTTTGTTATTAAAACTGCACCGATGTTTTTGTTTTCATGTAATGTATATAGGGCCAAAAGGGCATTAAAAAATAAATAATAATAAAAGTATGACATTTTATTTACAAAATAAATTAAATATAAGCAATTATATTAAAAAGGGCCCACCTTGGTTTGTTGAACCTTTAAAAAAATACCTCATTACTGTATACATTTCAAATAATTTTTGCTAATAAGTCGCTCTACCTATATGACAACATTAAGTTTGTATATTTATTAATTTCCAATACAAAATATATCATTCCTATAAAAGAATTAATGTATATAGTTTGTCGATAAGGTATGTATAACTCTATAATACTAGACAAATTTTATTAATACATAAAAATAATTCAGACAATATGAATATTAGCAATGACCAAAAATGTATAACACCTAAGTACCTAAATCAAAAATACTTTGTAAAAAAATAAGTAAAGCATTAGATAGGGATTATTTTAACAATTTTCGGTTTTTGTAATAAAACGTTATCTTTTCTTACCTCACAGCAAGAAGCCTGTAAATTTTAAAAGATAACAGCAATTTTTCATTATTTTTAATGTAGAATAACAACAGTAAGATTGTAGTAAAAGTAAAACAATAATATAATAAAAAAATGTATTAAAAATAAGTGAAATAACATAATTTTATGTTTATTTATTAGAAATTAGAAAAGCGAAATAAAACTTGTTTAGTGGGCTGATTTTCTATATTTTAGTTTTTAAATGGGAATGGAACTGTTGACGTGGCTTGTTTATGTTATGCTTGGCTTTCAATACTGATACTTCAAATTAAGTAAGTTTTTTTCACTAGCACATATTTATATGAGATACCACTCTTTTTTGAAAAATGTTTTGAATCAGATCACGTTTTCTTTTAAAGCGGGACATTCTTGCATTCTTTGGGGACAATGGAACACATAACTTGAAAGTGGGTTTGTCTTGCCTAAAGCGGGACTTATGATGTTAGGTATGACTCAAAAATAAAAGTTTACTTCAGGTTGATTTTCATTTTTATCTCTTCCTCCTTTTTCGAATCAGTTAGTTTTGAACTGGTTTGAGACACATGCCTCAAGTTCTGGGCTGGAGTCCAGTTTAAATGATTACTAACTTTGAAGGAATTCTGTTTCCCTAAAAATAAGAAAGTCATACTTGATGTCTCTATTATTAAACACTTTTATGTATCCTTGATATATGTAGAAAGATCACTTTTTGATATGTATGTTATTAGTATCATGGGTTCCTTTAATTTATTGGTGCAGACCAGACAGTTGAATAAACACAATAAATAGCATTCTCATTCTGCTCTTCAAAGTATGATCTAGTTACAGTATGTTTTTATTTGTGTGTCAAAAAAATGTATTTTACCTTTAATAAAATGACTATAAAGCCTTGGTTTCTTTGAACACTCCGTCGCGGTGAGCGGACAGTCCGTCGACCGCTGAGGAAAGCAATTTTCGCCCGAGGTGGTTTGTTAAAAAATATAGAAAAAGATAATTTCTCTATGTCTGTACGTGCTGTTTATGTATTATGAATGTAAACGAAAGGTTCTAAAATGGATGCAAATAAATTGTTTGCGTTATTATTATTGGAAGAGGAAGAACAAGAGGAACTGGCAATTGCAACCGTCAAAGTTTCCAATAAGCCAGTGGATGAGTCGTTTTTGTGTCGCGATACAGAAGGTGCCTTTAATATCACTGTGCAGCGGAGGCTTCTTGGAAATGAAACCAAATTTAGGGAGTATTTTAGACTTTCTACAGATCTTTTTGAATTCGTTTTGAGTTTTATAAAGGACATAATATCCAAGAAACCTAAAAATAAAGTCATGATGTCATCTGTATGTGTGTCTCTGCACACGCCGACGATTCCGCTGATATCAAACTCAACAGATATCAACCGACTCTTCGCGACAAATCAGCGGCATGACGCCGTCCTTCTCAGCCTAGCGGATTCAAGAAAACCATTCCCATTTAAATACTCTGGTTGGATAAAATCGTCAAAACGCGACGGTTGACGGACTGTCCGCTCACCGCGACGAAGTGTTCAAAGAAACCAAGGCTTTACAATTTCTTTGATTAGTCTAAGTATGTAGAATTCAAGATCCATAGAGGCAATAAAAACATCATGACTTTACAACCCAAAATAATACAAGTTGTAGGTTTTTCGCCGTAAAATTGTCAAAACCACTTTCAGAAGGGTACTTATATAAACTCTAATTCACTGTACAAATCAATTCAACTCAATTTTTTTTTAAAAATATTAAAGTAAACAATTCACATAACCTTCTTTGTGCCAACCAAATGTCATTCCATTTTTTGACAGATTTGAGGTTGAGAAAACAAATCGTAAACAAAAATGATCGTTCAGCGTCATTCCAACCGCTTATGAAACATGTTTCTTTGCTTTTAAAACATGTTTGACGACGATGAACACGGCCATTGTTTCAGGCTTAGGAAATGTATCAAGGTTATACAGTATTTTCTTTGATATTTCCTAGAAAAACAAAAGCTATTGTTTTTAAGCCTATGGTAAAAACAAGCAAAAATTTTATAAACAATCTAACCTACTATGTAAACAGAAAAAGTATCTTTTTTAAGATTCTATGATGAGAAAGTAAAACAATAATTGATACCTAATTATTGCTTCTGCAAATCTGGATTCTTCCAGAGGCCTGTTGTAAAAATTTATAAAAACTTTCCACAGAATGTCTCCTGGAGTAAGGCAGAAAATCTAGCAGTACCTACCTATTTATCTGCGTCGCTGCTTTGTCTTTCTTAAAACAATTTGATGTATGTTTTAGGTTCCCACTTTTAGTATGGTGGTAAGCTGGCAATTAATAAAAATTCCTAGTTTTCCTGATTTAAGCTTTTCATTAATTAATATAGGTACTCTACCGTTTATGTACGATGCTCTAGCTGAGTAGTAGCGATGCAGATCCTAGAAGATTTTCTACGAGATATTACCAACTCCAACAAATCTTACAAGTTTTAGAATCTTTCTGTTTTGATGTTTTTATGAGCACTGGAATTAATATTTGGATCAAACCTGTGATTACGATATTTTGTATTTTATTAGTTTGTTTGCATAGCCAGTTATTATCAGGGAAATTAAGATTGTGGTCTTTTGGACTAACTGTTCCAGTGACAACTGTTCTGGTAAATTATTCAAATAATCCAACACTTTTCAAAGATTTCAAGAAAAATTATAACGTGATTTTGTAGGCCTTAACTTAGACATACCTTTTTGTGGGGCATTTTACATTTATATCGGCTTCAATATGTTAGCTTTTAGGTATTAGTAAAATATATTACTAACTACACTAACGAAAGCTTGTTCGTATAGCCAGCTGCGTTTTGTACAAAATTTATTACTTATTTTCTACAAGAATAATTCCACCAGGCCAGACCGCCATGCCCTAAGGGGGGGCAACTGTATTGTAAAATATTTTTTGATAGTGAGTTTAGATTGTATCACCTAGGCCTACCTCGAGTATATTTTTTAGACTAAATCCTTGTCGGTCGCCGATATGTGGGTGTGCGATTACCTCAAAAGATGTTACTGTTAGAAACCAGGGTTGTGTTGGTCAGTAAGAGACAATCATTATTCCTGAAGACTTATTAATGATAATTTTTCTTAGTACTTAAGACTATTGGAAGAGGAGGAAATGCATAGGTTTTAGTTGGATACAAATATATTTCTAGGTATAGTAGAGGAGTTCCATCTTTTCTTGTTACGTATTTTATTAAATACTGACTTATCTAACTCCCATATTGTTTCCAAAGAAGTCTGACACGTGACCCCTATCTGCTTTATTTTCTACTGAACAAATA